CCGCTCGCTTCTCTAAGCGCACGAGCCGCAGCGCGCCGCCGTGGCCACAGGAGGGCGCTGGAGGGCCCGCGGACTCAGCGCCGGCGTCTTGCGGGGGCGGGGCGCAGCTTGGCACGGGAGCCGGGATTGGGGCCGGGGCTGCACAAGCGTAGTTTGGGGTTCAGCTGGTTGGCACAGGGCGCCCAAAAACCCTGCTCCACCGCCATACCCTCCAGATGTGCGGGATTACAATGCCCATCGCCCAGCAGCTGGAAAATCGAAGGGTGAGGGCGAGGGGACTGCCTTGCATGGACCTCTGGCTCGGTTCCAGCTCTTCGAACATGGGATCCGGAGGCTGCAGTTCACAACTTTGGTCACTGGAGGGCAGCAAACGACCATTTTTCATTTCTGAAAAATGAGCTTTGTTAAACTCTTGCACTAATTCGTAAATTTGTTCATTGACGATTAATACAGGAGGTGGTTTTAAAAAAAGGAAGAGGCCGCTGGTGCAATTCTATGCACGCTTAGACTATTACTATGTTACAATATTTTTGAAAAAATATGTACAGGTTTTAAAGACTATTTCTGTGTGAGCTACTTTGGACGTCTTCATAACTGAAAACTTGATATATATTTCTTTTCTGTGTTCTTTGTCTATTTCAAATTATTTTTATGACATGCAAGACAGCCGAAACAATATAATATATAAAACGCTTTGATTGATATGACATTAATAAAGATTTTTCAATACATATTTAAATACTTACTGAAAAACCCTGGCAAAAAAGAAAACACACACACACACATTTGCCAGAGCAGTGTGTTTGGTTTGGTTTCCACATATGCTTCTGAATACAGAGAAAATGCCCATACAAGAGGGTCGGTTATCTTTTCCTACGGAGGCCGAGGGTGTGAGACCAGTCCCTCCAGAGGGGGTGGAATCCAGTACGAAAGAGGAAAGGAGTCAATAGACAGAGCTGTAATCAAGCCTATTTTTTGTGCAATGGAGGCTCCCCCAACGCGGGATGGGGACAGATTCGCCTCTGCTTGAGATTCAGGGTCAGTGGGTCACATGTGGCCCACCAGATGTTGGACTGCATCCACATCTGCGCTGAAGACGGCCACTAGGAATTAAATTATGGCCAGCCCTTGCTGACTTCTAATTTGTTATTGCAAGTTTCCAAAAATCAAAGCAAACCCCAAAACAAAATAAACACAGAAATAAAATGAAGCAACGTGCAACAGTTTCTTACATGAAACTGGAATGAATCTATTACAACATATCAGTGCATTGAGAGTTATTCATTTCTCTGCAGCCACATATACCACTAAGCTTAAGAATAGCCATGCATGGATTTCAACCAAGGCCGCAAAAATATCCACGCATTTATTGGTTCCTAGATTATGCTGAAAGATCTGTTCAAAAATCTTGTGCATCATTAAGACCTCAACCCTTGGAGTTGGCTTACCAATGCTATTTGGAGCAACAAACCAGGATTTGACCTTGGTTTATAAAGACTGGCTTCTTTTGGTGCAACAAGCCAGGATCTCTCAATTCAGAAAATAAGCTGTTTTCCTACGGGCCTACAGAGCAGTGTGCCGATTGGTGGGAGAACCTAACGAGCCAACCAAAAGGAGGGCCGGGTGAGACAAAAACGGAGATCCCAAGATCCCAGTCTGTCATCTTCGTTCATGAGATCTCTGCTTCACACAATTCTGCGGTTTATGGAATCATATGGGATAAAAATAAGGTATTCCTTAAATATGATCTTTATTCTGTTGTTTTCTATCTTCTAATGACATAAACGCTCGATAGGATGGATTCCTGCTCTGCGGTGTTGCAAGCTGGAGAATCCGGCACTCTCTTGTTCTTAGCGTTTTTGTTCTTTCTCTCTTGCTCAATCTCTTGAGAATGTTACCAAACAGCAGCTTCAAGCTGATGACCTCTTCATCCTGGGAGGTTTCACATGAGGCAAGTCGACACCAGAACCATCTTCCCCCACCCCTTTGCGGTTCTGGGATATAGCTGCGTGAGATCTGAAGCGTCAGTCAAGAACACGGGACGTTCTTGGAGGGTCCGACCAGAGTCTGTTTGTGCGCCCATCCATCTGCCATTCATCGTGTAAGTGGATAAGATGAAGACACTCGTCTCTTTTCTGATCCTTGTTAATCTTTGGGCCTCTCTCGCCCAAGAAGGTGGGTGATTCATATAAAGTGAAATAGATCTGGGGACCTGACTTGGAGCAGATTCTCTGCTCCTAAATCTTCATTTCGCAATGGTGGGAGTGGTTAAAAATGACAGTTTTCATTTGAAAATGGAGCTTGTATTTTTTAGAAGGCTCGGTAGTGGCCGAAGTTTCCTTCCTTGCCCACCTGACCAAAGCGCGCGCACGTGCGCGCGCGCGCGCGCTCTCTCTCTCTCTCTCTCTCTCTCACACACACACACACACACACACACTTCCCATGGCTCTCTGGGCAATTTCTACTCCTTTTATCATGGAGACAAAGTCATGGAAATATTTGCTCCCCTTATAAGAACATGACTGGAGCCACATCAGGTCCAGAGTTCCGCTCATGCAGCGGACAATCGACTCCATGGAGAGTCCACCAGCAGGACTGGAGAACCCCAGCTCCTTCCCACCCATGCTCCCCAGCAAGTGGGGACCCAAGCGTACCTCCTCTTTTCCTGAGCGCTGAGCCTCCTGAGCCATGGATAACGTTCTCCGGGAATCTGTCCGCTCCCTTCTTAAAGTAGTCCAAATTGTTCACCACCACTCCATGCTGAACGTGTGGTGTGAAGGTCCTTCTTTTTCTCTGTCCCAGATCTCCCACCGGCTGCCTTCATGGGAAGATCCGTTTGGGTTCTAGTTCTAGTATGGGACAGGGAGAAAAAATGTTATGGTTTTTTATTTTATTCTGACATGCCCCACTGATCACCCTCCTGCCAGAAGCCCCAGGCACCTTCCAGGACCCTTTCTCTGTAAGAACATCAGCTGCGCTGGATCCAGACTTCTTCTTGCACAGGGATAACCACTTTGTCCACAGGATCTCACAGGCAGGACGGCAGTGCGATGGCCCCCTTCCTGCCCACGTTCCCCAGCAAGCGCTGTCCACAGTGTGCCTCTGATACTGGAGGCAGCCTATGGCCATGAGGACTAGCGGCCCTGGAGAGCTGTTTTATTGTCACATCAGGCACCCCATGAGGTAGGTGAGGCTGGGAGTCCGGCCTTGGCCCCAGAGTCACCCAGTCTTAGACAAGCGGGGACTAAAACCCAGCTCTCCCAGGTCCCCAGCACAGCACTCAGACCCTCCCCTGGTAGCACCTGCTGCAAGAGGGGTTTCTTGGGAAGGCAGGGCAGGCAAGCCTCGTCCTACGTCCCTGCACTGCCCAGACCATAAGCATATAAAGACAAGCCCAGCTGGATCAAGAGAAAGGTCCAGCTAATCCATCGTGCTGTTCCCTCCAGTGGCCAGCGAGATCCGAGATCTAGCTAAGAGCTGGAAAAGGGATCCTAGAACAAACCGAATGGAAACACGACTGCACTCTTAGCACGAGAGAGAAAAATTCTTTGCCTCCCTACAGATCTTCAAAAGATGGTCTTCATCTTCCCAGAAACATCCAGCACGGCTGCGGTGGTTCTGAAGACCCCGATCCCGCAGCCCCTGACCAAATTCACGCTGTGCCTGAGTTACTTATACCCTCCTGACTCGCGCCTTGAGCCTCTTCTCTTACTCCACCCGCTCGAGAGACAACGACCTCCTGCTCTTCAAACCAGCACCCAACCAGTACACCCTTTATTTGGACAATGCATCTGTGAGCTTCACCATTCCAGGAAAGCAGGTGCACGAACCCAGCTGGGAGCACATCTGTGTGTCTTGGGAGTCCGCCACGGGGGTGGTGGAGCTGTGGTTGGATGGGAAACCTTTGCCCCGCATGAGCTTGCGGAAGGGGTACTCTGTCGGCACGGAAGCATCCATCATCCTCGGCCAGGATCAAGACTCGTTCGGAGCTGGTTTTGAGAGCCAGCAGTCGTTTGTGGGAGAGCTGAAAGATGTGTACATGTGGGACCGGGTCCTGAGCGCTCAGGAAATGAGCCTTGTCTGCTCTGGACAAGTGCTTTCTAATTATCTGATTAACTGGCAAGCGCTGAGTTATGAGATCAAAGGTTATGTGGTTCTTAAGCCTTCTCTGCTTCCTTCATTTTGCTAAAGAGTTCCGCAAAACTCATGCAGTGCTTTCTCCCTCGCTGCTGTTTTTCCAATAAACAGATGCATTTAAACTCACGTTGTGTCTCCTAACATTCTTTTGGTAGCGCAGGATGGATTTTGAGGTAATGCATCACGTGCAACAGAAGCAAAACATATCCCTGAGTATCTAACTCCCATTCCAGAATTTTAGCTCTTCTTTCATTTGCAGTACCTTCACCTGTTCAAGGACATGTGAAGGTTTCTTGGAAGGCAGAGATGAACCGGCACGCCATGCCAAGTCAAGTCCCGAGCTCAGGTGACAAAAGAAGAGTAGAAGAAAGAGAGCTTTGTTTCGGAGAAAGCCCACTTTTTATTTCCTGTTATTTCTAGCTGCATTATTCATGTCCTGTCCAGGTCAAATGTGAAGATGGGACTAATTGAATTGGGAAAGCAGTCACTGAAATTCATTCCCGATGCAGGAACAAACCCAACACAAGGGAGAGTTCCAAAGTAGATCACTGAAAATGATGGGGTATCTTTTTTTAAAGTGTTATTCCCCCCAAAAGTGCACTTTTTCTACACTTTTGGGTCTTCTACTGAAATGGGGGTGAGTGTTGCTCAGCTTTTTCACACATCCTAAACTTGGCTGGTAATTTTGGGCCCCTTTTTCCTGGAAAACCTAGTTTCTCCGCACTTTGGGTATCCAGAGAAGTCACCTCGTTTTGCAGACGGGCCTTCTTAGTGCGTGGAAGTTGAATGCATAGGAAAAGGAGCGGGGAAGCAAAAGAACAGAACAAAACCCAAAAGCAGTTTTATTTGAAGGAGAACCTGAAGGTTTTAAAAGAATCCTGTGAGAGGGGCAGATGTAGGAGTTGGAAAGGAGCTTAGGATTAGATTTAGAAGCAAACCCCCTGAATTACTCTGCCTAATTTTTTTCTGAAATGCCCTCCCTTGTCCCTCCCTCCTTAAAAAAGAAACAGGAGTGTCTTTTCAGAACAAACTCCTTAAAAAAATTCAAAGTATCATTAAAGCACCAGAAAGAAGGCAAAGCACCTGTAATTAGCATATGCAACTTTGTGGTTAAGTTTGGCAAGAGGGGGAAAATTTCTATCCGCTTTTTCACTCCAAGAATCATTTTATGCTCCTCCACCATGTCTCAGCCTTCTCCCCAAATGTTTCCCTGTGGATGACTTACTTCTCGGCTTAACTTCTGTCTCATGAGACAAAAGCCAAGTAGTGAAGCTTTGTCAAGCGCTTTTGAACTTACCCCCAGCCTAAGAGTAGCTTGCAGAATTTCCCAGTAATTCCAGAATTTCCTGGAAAATAGATAAAATAGCTGTGGGATTTCCCCCCCCCCCCCCCCCCCCCGGCCTTGCAGCTCCAAGCCCTTGAATCAAAACAGCTGTTCCGGTCAGCTTATAAGGTCAAATGATACACAGATGTTTGTGCAAGATGGTTTGCGATGAACTGCAACTAAACATGTGCTGTTCCATTTTACTGGTCTTGGTATTTGCAATGACAGTTGAAAGCGCTTTTAATGCTGCATTTTAAATAATGATTTTTTTAAAAAAAATAGGCAGCTACTTAGAGAAATTATTAGCTTAATGAGTGTGGTTTTATTTTTAGGATATTTTCTGAACATGAAAAGAATGGAGGAAGTGAAAAGGATGTGAATGTGTGTGCTGGGATATATATCTATATCAAAGAATCACATGCATATATAGAAAATTCAACTGTCCAGCAGGTGTACATAAGCGTCAACAAAAGCAGGTCCAGATATCCTAATAAGTATTTATTCAAAGGCTGAGATATGTGTATCACCCAGTCCAATCTGGAACAAGGCAGGGCCTTCATTCCATGACATCTGCCACCCCTTGTTCTTACTCTCTTTCTGCCACCGCATTCTCCCTCTGCCTCTTTCTGCCACAGTCCCCACAACCTTTTCTCCTTTCTCCATCTCCTTCTGTCTTCTCCTCCCAACAGGCTGCCCAGGGAAGAGAACAATCCTGGTCTGAACAGACTGCTTGTCCTTCCAATGCCTGCTTTTTGTTGTCTTCCTCACGGGCCCTCAAGTTGTCTCCGACTCGTGAATGAAACCCTCCAAAGAGCCCTGCTCGTGACAGCCCCCTTCACCTCTTGCAAGTTCAAGGCCGTGGCTCCCTTGACGGATTCACTCCATCACGTTTGGTCTTCCTTTTTTTTCTTCTGCCTGACTTTCCCTAACGGGATTGTCTTCTCCAGAAAGCCTTGCCTTCCCATGATGTGTCCAAAGTAGACACCATCACTTGCGTCATTTTTGCTTCTAGGGAAAACTGTGGCTTGATTTTGATCTAGGACCACGGGTTCATCTTTCTGTCAGTCCCTTCTCCAGCACCAGAAGTGAAGCAGACTTGATTCTGAATGGACAAGGAAAGGGTTACACGGAAAAGAGCTCTAAAATTTCTTGCGAAATATGGAAAGCTCCTGTTGTTTTCCTAACAAAGCCCTCCTGCCTGCTTTTGACAGCAAGCAAACACTGCAGTTGCTGGCTGAATGTAGAACGTTATGTCCCAGAATGTACATTCCTCCAGCTGAAGAGGGATGGGAGCTTCATGCTGCAACCAAGTTGTTGAATGGTCTGATGAAATCCGTTCTCTGGGTGATGGAACAGCCCGAAGTGTATCTGTCCCACAAGCCCATACAAATGGCAACAAACCCCACTTCATAGGCCGAATGGTTGCCAGCTTTGAAGAATGTCTGGCAGAAGATTTTGGAACTGACCAAAAGTCCGGAATCTGAATTTTGATTTGGAAATAGGACTTCTGAGAATTGCTTACTTTTAAAAAAAAATAACATTCTTTAAAATGGTAAATTATTTTGTATTTCCTTAATGTGCCTTGTTAATCTTGATGACACGCTCTTGAACATTAGGGTCAATATGGAAGCTCATAACATGATCGGGTTGAAATTTCAAGAGTCAAGTGTTTCTAGTGTTCAAGATGTACAGACTTGGTGAAACCTGTTCTATTCTTTTGTGATCGAAAAGAACACTTTTAGTAGGAGATATTTGGAGAGGTGGTGAATGGGGCCACTGAATTGTTGTGAATGCCTCGGAATTTAGAACTGAAGGGAAGCAAGGTCTGGCCACAGTACTAGAGGACTCCTCTGAGCAGGAGAAACTAGAGACTCCAGAAACTGCACCTTTCATAAGAATGAAGGAGATGGCACCTCCATTGCACCTTTCATAACTGAAGATGAGAATGATCCTGAACTTAGGAGGATCCTGAGTTGGAGGCCCGTTTCTGCCAAAGCTTCTTAACTGTGCTTTGACCTTGGTCCGTCAGAGGACCATACACCCTTTGCCACAAACATCAATCATTTGGTTGTTTCCCAGACTGGTCCTTTCCCAGGTCTTCTCATCCTGGTGTTTTGTTGTTGGCAGAAGGAGCTTTCAGCTAGAATATCCAGGTATTTTTAGTACTGTGTCCCCATCACCTTTATCCTTACCCCCACGCACCAATGGGATCTGACCCCTAAGAGACTCTGGAATTGAATGGGGTCTTAGTGCAGAAAGAAGTTCCAGACCCTTTGACATAGACCTTACATTTCTGAGTTTCAGTGCTGTGTATTCAACCACATTAGTGTTGAAACAGAGTGCAAACTCTTTTTTCATCTTTAATAATCATATGGCAAGCACAAAGAATTCCACCTTTTCTGTACTGGGAATATTCCTATTTACTAAATTGGACCGGTAGTGTGTTATTCATTTGTTTGGTGTTGTTGGTTTTTAAAAAATATAAGAGGTTAACAAAGTTCAAAGATTTCATCACAAATGGGAGAGAAGAATTTGAAATGAAAATATAATGTGGGAAGAAGTAAAACTTTCCCTAAACCGGTTCGATGACCAACCCCTTCTGTAGATCCCAATAGGCAATTTTAGAACTCCCAAAACACAGTTTCACAGAGTTGCTATGACGGATGGGTCTAGATCAGTGGTGGCGAACCTATGGCACATGTGCCACAGCGGGCACGCAGGGCCCTCTCTGTCGGCTTGTGAGCCAAGCCGCCCCAGCATCGCCCCAGCAGCCGAGCATTGGATAACAGTGCACATAGGGGCCATGCGCATGCTCGGAAAGGAGCAGTGGCGCCAGGTGATGACATCACGAGCTGCAACTCATTAGCTGCAACTTGTCTGAGTTTTCGCATGGCCAGTCAGTGCGCTGCCAAGGATATATAAATATTTGCTTGGACTGGCTGTGAGTTGTTTTTTCTAAACTAAAACCTCAGTATTTAAGTTTTATTGCTGTGTTGGCACTTTGCGATAAATAAGTGGATTTCGGGTCGCAGTTTGGGCACTCGGTCTCTAAAAGGTTCCCCATTGCTGACCTAGAATTGAATGAATTAAATGAACTGGAAATCCCTAATTTTTTGAGAACGAAGGCACACTTCACAAAAAGTGTGTAAGAGTGCAAACCTCAGATCATGCGTGAAAGCATATATATTTATTGAGGGTGATACACAGAGAACCACATCATTCTCTTGGAGGAAACTCACTGGCAAGACAGAGATCAGATTCAAAGCCAAAAGTTGACTTTTTAGAAAGGAAGGCATTATTCAATGAAAAAATTGCTTTTGGAAATCTGTCAGGGAGAGAGCACAAAAGCCCACCCCCTTGGGGGAAATACACAGAAAAAGCCACACTGTGTGGAAAAAATGCATGGACGAGTGTGTAAGAAATTTTGTAAGGCCTGTATAAAACTTCTTATTGAAAATGGAATAATTTTTGGATGAATACATGAGAAGATGAGCACAGCGAAGGTCGATGCTTCGTCTTCTGACACATCGCTTAAGAAGTATATTCCTGCTACCTGCCCTTGGACTTACTGTATGGTGGGCTCAATGACCACGTAGCCTTTGATTTCAAAATCCAGCATGGTCCAGCTCACCAGAGCTGTTGTAGTGGTATCCTTGCTCCTCAGCTGCTCCGGAGGCAGCACGGCGTCCCACAAAAACACGTCGCTGATTTCTCCCACGAAGGACTGCTGCGCGTCAAGCGAGCCGCCGAAGGAGTCTTGCTCTTGCCCCAGCATCACCACCAGCTCGGTTGGGATGTTGTGCCCTTTGGCGGCACCCTTCCTGGGCAAGGGCTCCCCGTCCAGCCAGAGCTCAGTGATGCCGGTGGCCGAGGCCCACGTCAGGCAGGCGCTTGTCCAGCCGTTGCCGCTGCTGGGATTCGCCTTTCTGATGAAGACCTGGCACTGCCCACCCACGCAAGCGTGGTACTCAGCCGGGTGTTTGATGAGGAGAATCTCATTGTCGTGTTGCCTCGAAGAGGCGGAGAAAATCGAGTAACTGCGGGTCAGATCAGTGAAGTAACGGATGCACAGGGTGAACTGTGACAGGGGCCAAGACAGCCTGGGCTTAAGGAGGACGTAGGCATCCGCGGAAGTCTTTGGGAACACAAACACTTTCTCATTCAGATCTGAGGATGGAAGACAGAGATAAGACCTCAAATAGGCTGATGTTTAATACCAGTGGTGGAGAAATATCTACCTAAAGTTGGACAGAGGGTTGTCAGAGAAATCTGCAGCAGATTCATAGAATCATAGAGTAGTAGAGTTGGAAGGGGCCAGAAGGCCATCAGGTCCACCCCCAGCTGTTGCAGGACACCAGTTCACACCATCCCACTCAGAGGGCTGCCTGGTTTCTTTCTGAATGCCTCCAGTGTGGGAGAGCCCCCCACCTCTCCGGGCAGCTGGTCCCACTGCCATATTGCTCTGACAGTGAGGAAGCTTTTCCTGATGTCCAGCCTGAATCTGGTTCATTGCAACTTGAACTGATCGTTCTGTGTCCTGCACTCTGGAATCCGCGAGATCTTGACCTTCAAACAAGATCAGATGTCTGTGAATCCAAGCTGCAATTTTTACACTGGTCTGGTTGGTCTGAACTGGTTTTGTTTTACTTATTTTTTCAACTTGGCAGCAGGAGGGGGAGATTTGCACTGATGGGCCTGTGCAAAAGAACAAAATCCTCATACAAAAATCAGATTCTGTTCCGGTGATGGAATGAAAGACTGCAAAGCATATACAAAATGTGTTTGACAAAGTCTGGGTGTTTCTAGTTGGAGCTGCTGTTTTCATACCTTTGCTGCCACATTTGCAATTCTCAGCCCTTGCTGTAAGATGCCGTGAGTGGCTTTTTCAGAAAATAAAAGACACACAACACCTGCCTGCTGTTGTTCGGCAGGTTCCTCCAACTGAAATGCAGGACGTTTTTCTGTCTAAGTTTGAGAACAAATTCTGCATGCATAAACAAGATGAGGATTATTCAACAAGACACGACCCATGCAGTCACTCGCTTTCTACACCCTGTGCAATATAGTTTAGCAAACAAGGTTTCAGGCACAACCCTGTGTGAGTCTGGATGGGAAAAGAGTCCCACAGTTTCTAGCATTCCCCAGACAGCATGGATCACACCCTAAGCAAAGAACTGCATGGCATTCTGGCTGGCTACCCATGCAGGGGATGGGATCCAGCACTACGGACGGTGCCCGTAAAGCTCAGGCTGACTGCTGCAGTGGATAAGGACAGAGATTCCCCGAGTGTGGAACTCGGGATCTTCACGTGCAAAGATGTTCAGCCAGAGAGGCAGAGGTCGGGAGGGCCCCCCAATTCCTGCATCACCTACTTGTCTTGGCCAAAGCTCCTGAGAAGCTGAGCAGCACGAGGGACCAAAGAGCTGCTCTCTCCATCTTGTGAGACCTGCAAGCCAGGAGAGACCAGTGGAGCAACGAGAACCAGACACCAAGCCCTTCTCCTCTTCCTCCTTTCTGCTGTTTGAAATGTAGGCTGGCAAAGCCAAGCCCAGCTGGACTATAAGCTTGGCAAAGGTTGGGGAACACGTCATCTGGAAGTGGAGGGAGCCTGTATTTCAGGCGATTCATCAAAATGCACCCAGGCCTCTTAGGAGCAATTCTGCAAGGAAAAATAATGGCATAAACAGCTCTGTCTGTTAGATCAAGATAGAAAGATGTGCTGATCAAGATGTGCTGGTCTGAATCAGGCCACGACTGCACAGAACTTGTATCCACAACAAAGTGTCCGAGCTGCTAGTTTGTCAAAAGATGAAAAATATCTCTTCAACCATCCATCCGCACGTATAACATCTCTCAACATAATCTTTCCACTCGAGACCTGATGGGAGCCTAGGGCTAGCCAGCCCAAGGCCTGAGAGAAGGTCCTAACCTGGTGCTGAAAAGAGAACGCTGGCACAAGGTGGGTGGAGTTCATCCCAGAATTGGGGGAGCCACCACCAAGAAGACGTTGTCCTTTGTTGCTGCCACGAAGGTTTCTGTGTCAAAATTAACGCCTGAAATCAGGCCCAGAAACATCTCAGCAGTTCGTGCCAGCTGGCCAAGATTGGTGCTCTCAGTTCAGCTCTTCTGTTCCTTGTTATCCATTTGGCCACCACAGTTTGCAGAAACCACAGCTTCCGATCTGTCTTCAAGGGCGACGCCACATACATCACGTGGCAGCAGTCTATGCCAGAGGATGAAAATTCGTGTTGCAAACTCTTTTTCTCACAGGTTCCTCATCTTCAGCAGTTCTGAAATATCTGCCTGAGTAGCAGGAAGATATTTCACTATTCTGTCCACGCTGGGAATAGCTGAACTGATGGAATTCACTCTGATTGACCTTGTGGGATTTTTGTCAGCCTAAACATGCTTAGGATTAGAGTGTTATATTGTGGATTCGGTGAGGATTTGCTCAGATGGCTCTTCCGGGGCAGTGGGGGGACTGTTCCAGAAGCAAAATCTTTCTTTCTGATGCTCTGAACAGCTACACGCTTCCCTCTGCTTGCTTTGTTTCTTCTGCCAGCAAGATCAGAAGTTGCGCGAGGAGCCCTTGGCGTGCTTCCGCCTGCCAGACAGGTTTGGCATTCAGAGAGGATCCCTTCAGCAGCTGCAGGAAGCAAGGAGAGCTGGCTGCTTGTGTCGGGTCTGGGTGCATGCCTCCAGCCGGCCAGGCCAGCCGGGTGTTCTCCTCCGGCCCTGCCCAGCACCTTTGGCAATCCTTCTTCTTGTATCAGGTACTGAGCTGGAATGGACTGGGGTGCTCTGGGGGGAAGTCTTTGAATGATCACAGAGAGCTGGATGGGGGGGGGGGGGCAGAATTGCACAATGGATTCCGGTGTGGCCAAATCCTGGCCTCGTAAAATACATGGTTACTTTGTTGGTGCAAGGGTTTATGGGGGGGGGGGGTCTGTTCACAGGGGGCATTTGAGGATAAGCCTCAAAGTCAACCAGGAGCGTGATCTTCTAGTAAAGGTTTATTTTTAGACAGTCTGTTTGAGAAACTGAAAAAGCAGGTGGCTTGTGAAGGGAGGTGGTGCCACATCTTTTAATGAGGACTCATTTTGTGCTCTGCATTTCTGTCCTGCCCAATTGCCGAAGCTCTTCTGGGCAATGAAAACATTACAAATATGATATAAAATCCATAAAATCCAAGCATACAACTGAGAGAGTGGGAGAGAGCGATAAAAAGCATTTTAAACAAACATCAGGGGAAAAAAAAATAAATCCTTCATTTTGCTTCCGGGTCAGAAATCAAAAGTCATGGGTCAAGCAGCATCGGTTTGGCTGGGGGAGCTAATGGGAAACGCACACCAGCATTTTGCAATTCTAGCAATTTGGCACTGCAAACCTGGCACTTCTCTCGTATGTGTGTCTAAGTCCAACCACTCGCCAAAGGAGCGATCAGAGAAGCCGCCAGGCAGGTCGTGAGGACACAGCAGGACAAGAGAACGGCACTGCTGCCATGCCTCATGCAAATCTGGGTTTGCTCGGTGTGAAAGTTCCTTGTTTGCTTCCATATCTTTCACTGGCTTTAATACAGGATTTGCCCGGACACCTGCAAAAGACAGCAAACCCACCCTTCCTCTCTTAGCCTGCCATTTCACTCCTCTGCACCTTGGACATGGCTTCTCCGCTTCCAACAGCTCCTTGTTCTAAGAACGCTGAACCCCAGTGGAAACCTGCAGCCGACTTAGGCAGGCACTTTCCTCCCACAACGCCCCGGGGGTTCATTGGCCAAACCCCAGTGATGAGATGGAGGCTAAGCAACCAGAGGAGTCTGGGGAGCACCTGTTTTCCCGGCGTGTACGAGAAACACAGAAGGGAATTCGGCAGCTGTTGGGGGTCCCACCTCCGCCTTTCTCTCCTTGCAGGGTCCATGGCATCCGCAGTGCCACCCAATTTCTCCTGGGTAGCTCCAGGGCAGCTGGCGGGGCTGGCCATGCCCCGCTTGCCCGCGCACTATCAGTACATGTATGAGCACGGGATCCGGCACCTGGTCTCCCTCACCGAGCGCAACCCGCCGTATCATGACACCTGCCCGGGCATTCAGAGGCACCACCTGCGCATCGCGGACTTCTGCCCACCCTCGCCTGAGCAGATCCAGCGCTTCCTGCAAATCGTGGACGAGGCCAACCTCAAGGGGGAGGTAAGCCCCATCCCACACTGAGCTCACCTGTAGCTTCTGTACGAACAGACCTGTTCCGTTCCGGAATGCCATCCCTAATCTGCCCAGCAGTGAATGTTCTCTCGATGGATTCAAAACGGTTACAGAGAACTCAGATTAAACCATGAATCAAATTAATCGATTAAACCTTACAGAATACCATAGAAAGAAAGAATAAATTGCAGCATAACTCAGAGTAATGAGCAGTGAGGCAGTGCTTCACAGCCAGGAGAGATTCAGGTGATTCATTTCTCCGAAATGCCCAGGAGTAAAAACACGACCTTTGCCCAGCAAGATAATAGCGTAAGTGCTCGGAGAAACAATTTGGGGAATTCTGGCTACTTTATAGAATGCAATGATGGCCCAGCCTGGCTTTTTCCAACTGGCTAGTTCCAGAGTGTGTTGGGACTCCAGCTCCCAGCATCCCCCCAGCCACTGGGGATGTCTGTGGCTTTGGGAGTTCTGCCCCTCTGAGGGCATCAAGAAAAAGAGACCAGTGCTGTTCTTCTCTTGTGTTAACCTTTTTCTGCGTCCCCTTTCCTTGATCAGGCTGTGGCGGTGCACTGCTTGCTAGGTTTTGGCCGAACGGGGACCATGTTGGCTTGTTACCTGGCAAAGACGCAGAAGATCACCGGCGTGGACGCCATCCACGAAATCCGCAGGCTCCGGCCTGGCTCCATCGAGACCTACGACCAGGAGAAAGCCGTCGTCCAATTCCACCACCGTATCAAATAGCCAGCGGTGGAGACGAGAAGGGAACCGGCAGGCCTAGCCCACCACGCTGACTGCGGACACCAGGAAGAGGACGCTTTCGTGATCCGTCCTGCCGTGGGAATTCTTGGCTGCCAAACCAAGAGCAGCGTTTTAGCCCTGAAGGGCTGTGCTGGGTGTTTTAGCAGAAGAGTCGGCAGGCGGGATACGGGAGAGATGCAAACCTCAGCCAGGATCCTGGGAGGGTGCCGAGCGCATGATGGGCAGATGGTCGCATTGCAAAAGCCACAGGGCCTCCCTCCTTTGCGGGGAGAAAATGGTGGCTTTCCGGACACAGTTTTGCAAACTTTTGACAGGCTGCACATGGGGATGGGGGGGACTCCTCTTTTCTGTTGTTTGCTTACTGCCCTGGAATAAAGATCCTCTCTTCATATCACGTTTGATGGAGACCTCATTTTAGTAGAACGTAGGGCTGCCTGGGTCTTGGCAGTCGACAGGGCTGGGTGGCACTGAATGAGACGTGTGACCTCTGCTGTGGAGGTGACGACGACATAGTCTGCCAGGAGGGCGCTTGACATGGCCCAGGAGTCGAAGGGTGGTAAAGTTCAGACACCACACCTCTTTCCCTGTTGAGCATCACTGTAGCAGTGGGAAGGGACTGGTGGAAGGCACATGGCGACGTGACAAAGCCACCAGCAAGCTCATCATACCCGGAGATTAAAGGAAGGAGGTCTCATTGGTGATGCACTTGCACAGAAGTAGCCAGGAATCTAGAATCCCTCTGTGAAAGGTCCCATCTCCTGCGACCCTAAATCTGAAACAGTGGAACCGGTAAGGGACAACAGAATAAAAGAACTGAGTGTCCTCTTTGCATAAGGCAGCCCTTTCTTTTCAGAGCTGTCCTGTGCGATCCCAGTATAAGCTGCGGAACCATAAGGAGAGAGAGGAACAAGACCCGTCAGTAGTACGATTCTGGTCGGCAGACTGAACAGACAGGCTGGTCATCCTCTCTCACGCCGTGGAAAGACGACATGTCGGTTTGCATCAATCGTTCTAAATTTCCATCGAGATATATATAAATCAACGATGCAAGGTAGCATCCTTTACGTCACACCAACAACCAGGACACCGGCAGTTACAAAACACCTGCTCCCAGCCAGCCCTTTGGCCAGAAGCTGCCTCCTTTCTTGCAAGGCATCTCTTCCCCCACCTTAAGTTGTCTCCCCTGAATCACAGATGCGTGCAGCGGTGTCATTAGGACAGGGTTTGGGGTAGAGGTCAGAGTGCGGACCACAAAAGCAGCAATCGGAACGCCTAACTTTGTGTGGTGTAGAGCCAGTGTGGCGACGTGGTTAAGAGCGTGGGACTGGGACTCAGGCGATCCGGGTTCGAGTCCCCGCTCAGCCATGGAGCCAACTGGGTGACTTAGGGCCAGCCCCAGACTCTCAGCCCGGCCTACCTCACAGGGTTGTTGTTGTGGGGATAAGATGGAGGAGGAGAATGATGTCAGCTGCCTTGAGCCCTTTGTAGGAAAAAGGCAGGATATAAATCCAAAGATAAATAAATATATAAAAGAACTTTGCAAGTCTGCAAATGATATTTAGAGGTAGGACGGGGTGCTGTAAGATCATTCCATCCAGAGCCTAAAATTACTGAGCCACACGGTTGGGTGTGGGAAAGAAAAGCAGAGGGACACTTTTGGGGAAAGCGCCAAAGAAGGCCCGGCAAAGTCCTTCCAACTTGGGATGCGAAGGATGGAAGAGGCCGGGAGGGGGTGCTCACAGACTGGCTTTCTTCTAGCTTAGAAGCTTCCATCTTTGGAAACTTTTAGAACAAAAAGGAAAGTCTTTGGGTTGCTTGGATTACGGGATGTATCAAAACAAACACAAACAAAGATCTCCAAGATAATATGCCAGACTGACACTTTCCATGGCCTGGCGTCCTTTTCTCACATTTCCTCACACTTTTTGTCTGGGGAGGGGGTTTGTCGAAGAGGAAGAAAATTGGGGGGTGTGTGCTAATTGCTTGTTCCAGGAGTGGTGACCGGAAAATGAGCGGAAAGACAGAATGTAATGGGGTATCCTGGGAAAGGGCATGGCTCTTTGGCTGAAGCTCCCCATTTTTTTTCATAAACTTGCCTGACGAAGAATCTCTAGATTCAGTTTGAATTTTTCTTTGAGCAAAACTGTGCTGCGGTAGATAAGGGTTGCTGGGAACCCTGAATTCCAGGGGTCCCCTTTAAGCCATGCCATCTCCTGCTATGGATGTCATTTCTTCCAACTTTCCACTACAAAGTTCTTCTTTGACCCCATAATTCAAGCAACTAGTTTGATGATCCAAGGACTCCACAAGATAATTCCGACTGGTGCCGGAGGTCAGACTAGATGGCCTGGGAGACCCCTTCTGACTTGCTCTGTTTCTAATTCCAGCTGCTTTTTCTCCCTGTTTGTGGAGGAAGATAGGCAAGGGGAAGAGGAGGATTTAGTTTTGGGGTTCTCCGGCACCACCTTGTTCCATAGGAAGACATGAAGTGCGTGGTTTGAGCTAATCTTTTTCGTTTGCTCTGGAACTTCGCATTTCCTAAGAACGTAAGAGCCACAGTGAATCAGGCCAAGTCCAGTCTTCAGTTCACACAAAGGCCAACCAAATGCCCTGATGGGAAGCCCACAAGCAGGGTAGGAGTATGTCTCTGATCCTGGAGGTAGCTTATGCCCATGAGGACTAGTAACCTTCTTCTCCTTAAATTTGTCCAATTCCAGGTAAAGCCATCCAAACTTGCAGAAAGCAGAGATGAATTCCATGGTTTAATGGTGCGTATACCAATATAACGATCTCAGATTTTTATCTTTTCAGTCCCGAGCAAGAGGAGAAGGTGCAGCTGAAAGCACACATCTTCTACAAAGCTCATGCCCCCAAATGAGAAGAAAGCTCTCTGCAATCACGGAAAACTTCCGTGAACTCCCTCTGAGGCCGTTATGCAACTGCCTGATGTTTTATAAGAGGTGTACTGAGAGCTCTTCTCGAGTAAGAATTATCTTGGGAAACAAGCCCAAAATAGCTGTTCTCCTGCTTTCTGCCTGAATTATGGTGCAAGAACTGGAAGGATACCTGGTGCGAGAGAGGGCCCTGGCTTCGGAGGCCCGTTGGGCAGGCAGCCCCTGTGGTCCACCCCTGGCCAGGGGCATTTGTCCAGCGAAAGGTCTGGGCCCCGACTGATCTCTGCCACATCAGATCCTGGCTTCTGGCCCATGGTAGCTTCATTCTGGCTGAGATTGTTTCCTAAAGCAAAAATCCCTCCGTTCCTCTGTGCATCCATCGCTTTTTACCCATAGGCCTTTGCAAAGCCCTCGCACAAGGATTGGCTGGGTTTCCGTTACATCACAGGAGGGTGGACACCCGTGTTCATTCCAGATCCCCTCCCTGAATTTAGAAACACATTTTGTCTTTCTTTAGAAAAATCAAGTTTCTAGGCCATATTGAGAACTGGGACTTGGGAGACTCAGGTTCTATTCCCTGTTTGGCCATGAAATTCACTAGGCCACTTTGGGCCAGTTACTCCTTCTCAGCCTAGCCTACCTCACAGGGTTGCTGTGAGGAACAGATCAGGAGGGCAAGAATTATGCGAGCTAATTTGGGTTCCTGCTGCATTTCACCCAGTTGCTTGTTGCCAAGTATGAGCTGCATCTCCAGTGTTGGAAGCATCGCTCAGCCATTCAGAGATTTGGTCCAAGCACCCAGGGGCCATCACCCTACTTTTTTCAGATGCTAATTTATATGTAGAAATGCAAATATATTCATAATCACTAGGACTTATTAATTTTTACAGAAGGCAAAGCTAGCCCGTTCCTTTCTCATCCAAGTTGTCTGAAATAAAATAAATTCTTCCACTCCACATTCCCCCAAATCAATCGTTCGTTTCATTACGATACTGCCCAACCGCCGAAGCTCTTTTGGGCAGAATGAAAACTTTAAAAATACATTACAGAAATCATAAGCATAGCTAAAAAATGTCACGGCAAGAAAAATTCACAACCTGATGGGCATGCTCATTTTCTGCTAATATTCCTCGCCGGTCGCAGTGACTCTGCAACATCATCCTGTTTCTCTCTCTTTCAAAAGGGTACATGAGGATCTGTCGGTCCCCGTGGACGGCTGGAAAGCTGTGCCAGTGTGGGGCAGAGGGAGGCGTCAGGCTCATTCAGCGGATGGACCAGGGCGAGTCGGCCGCCGCTCCCCCTCAGATTGGAGAACACTGGTTGCCGGTGGCTTCTCGGCACCGCTTGGCCAAAGTGCCGTCCCACCTGCCTGGCCGGGGGGTCTCCTCAGGCTGGGCTCTGCGGCTCGTCAGGCAATCATCCGCCTGCCAGCACACTCCCCCCTCGCCTTCAGCAGGCTAATGCAAGCTGACAGCTCCTCTTGTCTGAGAGAGGAACCAGCAGAGAAGGTGGGCGCGCTTCCCCCCACCGGCTTCCTTGCTTCAGTGTCTCAGCAGCAGAGCAGGGGACGCTGCTGCGACGGGATTGCTGGAGGAGCAGCACTCGCATGCCTCCTGGGCTTTGGCTAAAAAGTGATGCCAGGGTGCCCGCGGGGGAAGCATCTGCATGCGTTTCAGTGGCCGTGGTGCGGAGGAGGGAGGCGGTGTGGCTGGAGGAGGGGCAGGGACAGGAGTGGCAGCCTCATGTCGCGTCAAGCTCCAACTGCCAGGAACTAAGTCTTTGGAAAGGCACTTCTGCGGTCGGGATGAAATATGTGCCGATCCCAGGCACAGGCACGTCTCAGGATCCAGCCCCCTGGGTGTGGGGTTCCCCACCCCCGTTTTATGGGCACAGTCCAGAAGGGGGTGAGAATTGTCTGCACAGCCGGTTCCTGCTGACTTGTCCTTTTTATGCTCAGGTCTGGAACTTGTCGGAGCTGAACGAGGCACACAGAAGGGTTAGGAGACCTGGCCCAAAATTGCAGTGCAAGCCGGAGCAGGCCTGGGGAGAGAGTAAGTCCAGGCAACGGAATCCCTCCACCAAGCAGCAAGGCATCAGTTGACGCTGCTGCAAAAGATACCAGAAAGCAGCTTAGTGCCAATATTAAATACTCTTAAACGGCTCTTTCTTTAGCCATGTCCTCAGCGAGATCAAAGCCCAGCAGAGCCCGTGTGACGTACGGACGCCAGGGCAGGGCAGGTGTTTCCGCCCACTGCCAGGCTGTTTGGGGAGGGGGTGGCCAGGATGCCACACACGGCCTGCAAAAGAGGATCGCCGCCTTGGTGAACTAAGAAGCCCCCGAAATCTCACTTCAGCCCTGGACCTGTTGCCTCTGAAGAAGTCACAAGAAAAGTTGACCACAAGCAAAGTTAAACCCCACGGATCTCCATGGAAATGTAGTTTCACTCTGGTGGCCGCCCCCGAATATTAACCCCAGAGAGGAGCTGCTGCACCCC